AGGGGTATGCCTTGCGATGCCGTCTCCTTTGGTTTAATACTCAAAGCTTGCTACATATCTATTTATCTATGGTCTATTGTATGAAAGCGATTGAAAGTCTCGCCTTTTAGGCATGAGTCGGATATATCAAAACGAATCTAAAATCCGATTTCAAAAATCGACCTAACTAGCTAAACTCTTACGATTTGTACAACCAAACCAATCCAAATCGAAAATAAAATCGACAATATACAAATCTAAACGCAAACTGTTGCGTAGAAATCCAAATCCGTTTTTTCAGTGTCTCTCTCGATGACGTGAAGTTTAAGATTCAGATTTCGGTTTGTCGGCTATGGAATATCGAAATATATTACACATTGAGATATGGGCTTAGTACGTAAAGTCTATATTGGCTTTGCGAGATTATGCGTTGCTGAATTTATGGTTCAGTGTGCGATCAATATCATTCTTATTGTTAAGTCGTTTAAGGCTATATTTGCGAGATCGTGTGATGATTTATTTTTGTTTTTAGTTGTGTTTCATCATCATCATTACAGCCCTTCACAAGTCCACTGCTGAACATAGGCCTCTCCCAAGTAATGCCACAAAGCACGGTCCTAAGCCACCTGCATCCATCGACTTCCTGCATATCTTACCAGATCGTCACTCCATCTAGTGGGGGGTCGCCCTACACTACGCCTACCGGTACGAGGCTGCCACTCGCGAACCTTTCTTCCCCATCGGTTATCGGTTCTTCGAGCTATATGGCCGGCCCATTGCCACTTCAGCTTACTAATCCGTTGGGCTATGTCGGTCACTCTGGTTTTACTGTGGATATCCTCATTTCTGAGTCTATCACGCAGAGAAACTCCGAGCATAGCCCTCTCCATAGCTTGCTTAGCGACCTTGAGCGTCCTCATACGGCCAGCAGTGAAGGACCACGTCTCAGATCCGTAAGTCATCACTGGCAACACGCACTGGTTGCAGAATCTAGATTTTAGAGATTGAGGTATACCTGACGAGAAGATATGTCGTAATTTCCCGAACGCTGCCCAGCCGAGTTGAATCCGTCGATTGACCTCTCTGTCGAAGTTGGACTTACCTAGTCGGACTATTTGTCCCAGGTAAACGTACTCGTCAACAACTTCGAGCATAGTGCTCCCCACAACTACCGGCATAGGTGTGACATGGACATTAAACATGATCTTTGTTTTGTCCATGTTCATCTTAAGACCTATCCGTTGGGAGGCACTATTGAGGTCATTGAGCATAGTGCTTAAGTCCTCCAGCGATTCCGCCATAAGGACTATATCGTCGGCAAATCGAAGGTGAGTGATGTACTCGCCATTGATGTTAATACCGTATCCTTTCCAGTCCAGTAGCTTGAAAACGTCTTCCAATGCAGCGGTGAAGAGTTTCGGGGATATAACGTCACCCTGTCTTACACCTCTTTGCAGTTGGATGGGTTTCGAGTTAAGTGTTTGCTTACTTAAAATAATTTTTTGTTTTCATGTTGTTATGTTTTAGTCTTTAGACGTAAATTTTATCCCGGTAACAACTGCTCACATGCCGGTCAGTCGTAACAGTGTATTGTATTATAATATTTACTGATATTTATTGCCTTAATACCTTTTTGTTTAGTAAATATATGAAAAAAGTTAATAAAAATGTTTAAAAATCAGGAGTGAATTGTGTGTGAGTGTACGTTTTAAGTGAGTAAGTTATTGATCATAAAATAATTTATACGCATTTGTCGGAAATATATCGCTCAAAATGCAATATTGTCGCGATATCCTTTCCGTGCGAACGAATTTTTTCAAAGACGGGATTAATAATAAATGAAAAGAGGTGTCGTCTAAAGTCGTCAAAAGTGGAGCAAATTGCGTTTTTAAACGAAAATCTTAATCCAAACAAATTCGGAAATAAAAAATTAAAAAAAGAAAAATGCGAAAAGAAAGCAAAAAAAATATAATAAGAAATCATTGTAAATATACCGATTATTAAATGCGCCGGAAAAGTTCTAATTTCATGAATGCATGAAGGATAATCTCGCAAATCTGTTTCTGTATTAGTTAGATTTGCGTTTGTCATTTTGTTAACTTATAAAACGAAATCTAATTAAGGAAATGAATTGGCGTGGCTAAGCGATACTGAAATCGGATTTTCAAAAACGGATTTTGAAATCGATTTTGAAATCTAAAATCGGATAAATATCGGTTTGCGTTCAAACCCAAAAACGCCCATGCCTATCGCCTTTATATAAGTACCTTTATCTTTATTTTTGTTTATCAATTATCAGTCTATTCTATACTCTTTGACTTGTACTCTCAGTAATCTATGATTCTAAGGTGGCACGTTCCAGCCTGCAGATACTAAAAATTTCAAAATTAAAAAATTCTCATTTTATAGATCTCAATTAGCCATTTCGACCTACGTTAATTAATTTATAAGCCCGTTTTTCGTTTTCCCAGGAAAAATAGAAATATAATTTTCAATTTTCCTCTACTTAAAATAGCCATATCTCTTTTAAAAATGATTATTTTTTACTCTACCAAGCGTGAAAAAATTGCCCTTGCGCTAATTTAATTTGGCCGCGTGCTGATTCTTAAAATATTCAATAATTATTACTGTAAACAATAAAAAACCGTCGTAACATTCCCAAGCCAATTATTTGCGCATTGCGCATGCGCGACAGAATAAAGGTGAAACTCACATCATCAACTGCAGATCAGCTGATGCTACACTGACACTGGCAAATTAAATTAGCGCAAGGGCAATATTTTCACGCTTGGTAGAGTAAAAAATAATCATTTTCAAAGAGATATGGCTATTTTAAGTAGAGGAAAATTGAAAATTATATTTCTATTTTTCCTGGCAAAACGAAAAACGGGCTTATAAATTAATTAACGTAGGTCGAAAGGGCTAATTGAGATCTATAAAATTAGATTTTTTTAATTTTGAAATTTTAATATCTGCAGGCTGGAACGTGCCCGGTATGACTCTACCTTTACCCACAGAACCATATAGCTTGCTACATATTTATTTATCTATGGAACCATAGATAAATAAATATGTAGTAAGCTACACAGAACTAGACGTCGGTCGTTACGTCATTTTCAAGAAACGTAACGAAACCAGTGACTTGATCGGCGTCACCTGTTTCAAAACTAGTGATTTTTGTAACTGACTATTTTTATTTAGCTACTGTGATTGTTTACATATATATCAACACCAACTATACAGTTACACACGAAACGAAAATAAATTTAATCACAATCTGTTTTTGTAGCTATACAGTAACTGTATACTGTTACCGTACGTTTGCACTAAGAAACATCCAACACGTAATATTTTGAAACAAATCGCATAAAATAAATCACATAACATGTTTTGTTGATGGTAGCGTTCGCACTCACACTGTGTAAAATTTTCTACAGATATTCAAACTTATGTTTCAACATGACAATATTTACACAAATTTGTTTTCAAACATTCTGTTTCTGTATTTATAAAGATATAATATAGTAAAAATATGTAAAGTACAATAAACTGTCAAACTAATTTCACTAGAACTTGTTCTTTGACTATGCAAACGCTTTTCGATACATTGACAGAAAACAGTGTTTAAAACATGTTTTTTGTGAAAATCGCGTCAGTGCAAACTCACGGTTAAATCAATAAATTAACTACCCTTCATACTTTATTCAGGTTTAGGACTTTATGATTGATTTGCGTTTACTATGACACTAAGACTTTCATAAAATATTTACAAGTCAATTTGATTGTATATACAATGATTATTGATATCTACAGTTTATTTACACTTTTTCAACGTTTTCACTTTTATTTACACTGTACAATTAATTTGTTTGTTTGTTTGGCTATTTGCACACAGTTTTTAAGTTTTATAATATTATAAACATTTAAATTTTTATACACATTTTTTAGTTTTATTTTAATTTTATGAATAAACGAGTTCATGACTCCGTCAAAAATGTTTTAAAAATTATTTTAGTTAAATTCGATGTGACTCGCTTCCCGGAATCGCAAACCGTTGAAATTATTTACAAACAGAGATTACTCTATTTTATTGTCTATGTTTTTAGTATGAAACTATGAAACTTACGTATGAAAATTAAACGTACAATAATACTGTTACTTACGATGTTTTGTTTATTGTTGTATGCTACATGTGCGCTTTGCGTTTGCGCTCGACCGACCGACAGTCGACTCCCGCAATAATCATGGTTAACAGTAATCATAATCACGCATTTACAAAAATCACTACTTGTAACATGACTCGAAACTAGTGATATATATTACTTTCCTCTATGCTAGTGATTCGGTTACATGGCGCGTAGCCAGTTACTGTATTTAGTGACGTGAAATAACGCTCACGTCTACACAGAACACTATTACTCCTATGCTCCTATCGGAGTAATAGTGGGGTATGTTCCGAAATACAACGCAGTGTACTGTCCAATGCAAATGACGTATCATTTGACACTTTATTGTACTAGCGTGCCGCCGCCATATTGTGTCGGATATCCGGCCATAATAAAACAATTTTTAATTGTGTGTTTGCCGAATGAAGCATGCCAGAATTTGTTTCTATTTATTCAAATACAAAAAATTATAGAATAATTGATGGTATATCCATTAGGAGGATATAATGATTTTTGGAGCACAAAATGACAAAATAATCGCTAACACTTTTCCAAATGGCGCAAAAGTATGACGTCATATACTGTCCAATGTTTTGGAACGAATCACCAGTATAGCGTCGATTCATGACGTCATTTGCATTGGACAGTACACTGCGTTGTATTTCGGAACATACCCGTGTTCTGTGATTCTGTCTCTCTCCTTTACCTGCCTGTGTTTTCGCTACCTACTTAATATTATATTACTATATTTTTATCTAAATACAGAATAGTAAATAGTTTGTAAACGTAATAAATGGTAATCAACAAAATATCAAAGTATGTCATAATATTTAGACATTGTTCAAGTGCCTAAAAATGTTCAAAAAGCTTAAAGATAAGTTAGCTGAGGAGGTGAAATCATCGCCTCAAAGAATTCAACAATTTGCTCAAGCTGCTCAGGTAGATAATTTTATTTTAGCTACACACCAATGTCTTTCCCGTTCCCCTTTTTATTCTTCCATAACAGCCCGTAAAAGTCCTTTGCTGGACTTTTTGTTCAAATAAATAATAGTGCCCTAAAAATTCTTATGAGAGTAAGAGCTGTACAAATTCAGCTGCATTGCTCCATCTCACTCTAACATAACATTTACAACATTAAGAGGTTTTTTAATCAATGTTCCATGCATCTACTAGCTTTACCCACTACTTTCGTTGTGCACCAATTCTTATAACCCATGCATCTGTAAGTTGTTTCTAAAGATAAATGTTGTAAGAGTAGGTTGAAGTTCAACTGAGACTGGCAAAGGAGACACTTAGAAAAAACGTATACATGAAACTGAGAAAGCATGCAAGGCTGCCTGCACATTGTCTTGAGAGTGGCTGCATTAGGAGTTGTGGCAATGCTTAATATTTGTTCCAAATTAACAGCGAAACCTTTATTTTTTCATATTATTTTTGTGGAAAACTACTGGTTTTCTCCTTTCCCTCACTCCTCTTCATTCGAGGCTATGACCTCCACTTCTAATATGATAGACAAGATTTCTTTACATATCTTTAGACATGATACTGAAAAATCCCCTGCCTGTCGCTAGACACATGACTGACTGACTGACTTAAAGTATTAAAGCAGTACTCTTAAATATATTTTATTACTTGAATTTTTCAGTACTAAAGAATGATTATAATTCTAGTATAAATATATGAAACAAATTCATCACTGCATTAGAAATAGAAACCCAAAATATGGCTTATTGTTAAATATTTATTTTTTATTATATATTGTAAAGAATGTTGTTGTAATTTTAATTAGTTCTGAAATTTTTGTTTATTAAATTTTTATTTCAAAAGAAGATTTTTTAGTTCCTGTCAAATATTTAAAGGAAAAATATTTAGTACATATCTATATTTTTAACTTCATTATTTTCATTAATACCCAGTTGCAGGTCTCAATATTGTTGTTATTTATATTATCAAAGATGCAAGTAATCATATTTAACAGGTTAAATAGGTTTGCATTTTTTCAGCACTTTTATAAAGTTACCTATTGTAATTTGAGTTTTTACACCCTGTGTTAATAAGGTAGTTATGCAGCCATCTATTGGAAGCCATAATAATTTTCTGGCATTTCCCTTAGAAGCTTTGTACAACACCGACTAAACACAAGTGGTAAAATAAAAAAAATTGTACAACGAACTTCAATATAAATGAAATGAGAACATCATTAAATGTAGTCAAAGTCAATTATAAACATACATTATTAAGGATAACTCAAAATCTGATCAAATTTATATGGGACCATATGAGAAGCACCAGCTTTCAAATAAAAAAAGAATCATCAAAATTATTTTACCTAGAAATAGTTCTGAGGTAACACACATTAAAAAAATACAGTTAAATTGAGAACCTCCTCTTTTTTGAAGTCTATTGAAAATGGGGTGATAGATTCTCTTACGCTGCCTTCAAATGGCACTTTCCTCAAAGATTTTGCAGATTGGTATTTAATTATAGTTTTGATATATTTAATAACAACTAAACTTGACAGGAATAAAATATTTCCAAAAAGTAAAATACAAACTAGGACCTATATTAGCCAAATTAATACTCTATGCTACTAACTAGTTTCATGCCGAGTAAACCATTTGTGGCATTCGAATACTTTAGTAATTATTCTCATAGGATTGAGTCATTACTTGAGTCACTGACTTGAATCTAGTATTCCATTCCAGTCAGGTATTCTTACACTTTATTTGGTGTGAGTACCCTAAAGTTTCTCACTTTCTAAAAATATTTAAAATAAATTAAAGGGACAAAGCACACATTTGTTTTATTGTTAGTCAATGCCAAATTAGAAATAAAAAAAAATAGAAACTTGTAATAAACCTTCATGTAAATCTTTATCAATGACAATGTTGCAATTTAAGTAGTTTAGTATTTGACTACTATGAATACTGGAAATCTTTACTTGAGTGTATGTAATTTTTCATAGACTTTACTTTCTGAACTTGAGTTCATAAGTACCACTGTTGCTAAAATCTGTAATACATATTACATTCTGATAATTTTGTAATGGAAAACTAATAACACTGTAATAGCAACTAATTTATTATTGATTTTTCTGCAACAATCATTATTTATTTACTTTTATTGTTTTAGGCTGTTGTAACATCAGCATCTAGCAGCATTACTGATATTACAAATAATGACCTGTTTTCTATTGGAGATAATGGTATGTTATAATCAAGTTTTACTTCATTGTATCATCAACTTCATTGTAAATTGTAGCTTAATAAGTTACTAGGGTTTTTTAAATATTGAATTACTGGAATGATGCAAAATTATAACTTAGAAGGCAGTTAAGAGCTACAATTTATTTCATATACATTTCTATGTTATGGCTGGAATTGAGTTTGTAAGTGGAGTGCATTTGTAGTTGGCAGTTGTGGTACCAGATGTTTAGTACATTTAACTCTGTACCCATTTTTCTGGTTTTCGCAAAATGATTATACTGCTAACTATCAGAAGATGAGTTTGATGTATCAGGCAGAATTTAGTAAAAAAAATACTGAAAGTGCTATCTATGCATTCAAAGTTTTGGGTTAGTTATACAGTTGTAGTGTTAAACTATTTATGGGTATTTAATAAAAGGCAAAAGAATTTATTTTCTTTTAAAAGTCATGTACTACATATACCCGACACTAAGTAGCATGAGTTTTTATAAAATTACCATTGGATTTGTGTAAACTATCTGGTTTTCTAACAGTTTGCCAACTATTATAATTACTTACATTTTAGTAATAAAAACTATATCACACTATAGTACTAATAAAAGTATATTTATAAGATTAGACATTATAAATAATGAGGTGTCATGTAGTAGAGTAAGAGAATCTATGACCCTATTTCGTACTATACAACTATCCAGCTAAACCTGGGTGTAATTGCACTAATATAATTGTGCTGAGCCAATTTCCTTGTTTTGATGGTGCTGGTCTGTCTCACCAGTCTTGGGAATTTGCATCCAAGACTGTATTCCATTGGTCAATTGTCAACTTTTGTGTAATCACAATATGATAGTGCTGGTCTCTCTCACCAGTCTTGGGGATTTTCATCCAAGACTATATTCCATTGGTCAATTGTCAACTTTTGTGTAATCACAATATCAATTTGTCTATTTTTTCTGCAGAGGCACCTCTTAGGGCACTGCACAACTTACATCTTTTAGTCGAAACCTCGAAACTAGCTTTTGCTTTGTAAATTATGCCCAATATTGAACATCTTTCAGAAAAAAAAAATACTTTCCTTGTTGTAAACTACATAAAAATCATTGAGATATTTGGTACATGGAATCGGTACTCAAAACTCAATACATGGAATCGGTAGATAGTGAAGTATAATAATTATATATATGTTGGAAATCTCATTAGAATCTTGGCAATATGGTTAATGTTGGTTAATTGTGGAAAAATATAAATTGTGTGAGAGCAGATGTCAACTTGCTCTCCTGAGTATATTCCATAGAGGTGAAGAACTATATTATTGTGGGTAAACCTGCTTTAAATAAGACATATGAAGTCTGACAACACACATTGGAGCAGCGCGATGGTTACTTCCTTGCGCTAAAACCCTCTCGGAAGTGAAAGCAGACTTGTGCCCAAGAGTGAGATGTATGTAAGCTGTAACTTACTTTATGTAAAACATGTCTACTGTCATTTCAAATATCAAAACTTGTCAATTAATTAAGATACACTTATTTGTTTAGTATTCATATATTATTAAGTGACTGCCTAGTTGGTCTAGTGGTTGTAGTAGTGCGACTGCTGTTCATGAGGTACTGGGTTCGAATCCCAGGTCGGGCCAAAAAATTAATTATTGAGTTTTTCTGTCAAGAAATTCTCAGTAGTTGCTCGGAGTCAGGAAGTTGGCGTGTCTCACCCCTGTGCCTCGGAAAGCACGTAAAGCCGTTGGTCCTGCGCCTGATCTCTCTCTCCGGTCGTGTCGGTTTACCATCCCATCGGATTATGAGAGTGAGGGAAGGGAGAGTGCACCTGTGCTTGCGGATACACTTGGGCACTATAATCCTGTCCTGCGCCGATGGCTAGCCTCCGTTATGGCAGGCCGCCGTGGCCGAAATTCGGTCGGGAGGACATTATTATTATTGTTATTAAGTTGATAAAATTTTCTTAAATTATTTATTTAATCAGCTTTGTTATTTCAGATGGTACCAACAGAAGTCCAGAATCATCTAATAACAGTAAAAGAAATACAATTCATGAGGTATCCCCTGTACAGCAAGGATCCTTGCCTCTTGGATCTGAAACACCAGACACTTCATTCGGTCATGAGGTAATGATTTGAATTTAAATTTATAAACACGGGTGGAGGGGGTCTATCTATAATACCTATCAGTTTGTTATTAGAAGTTAGTTATACTTCAAAGTAATTATACTCATCAATAATATACTTCAGTTGCAAGAAGTCCATGGCTGCAATAATCTGAACTTTTTGTAACAGCTATACTATCAAAGTCACGAAAGTATAATATTTCATAACAATAAATTAACTAAACACTAAAATTATCATAATATGGGCCTATTCTTCGCTCAATATATTCATTCAAATTAAATATTACTATTTTTTATTTACTTAATTTTAAATAAAATATACCCCACATATTAATAAAAGCTTTTACTAATTTGATAAATAACAAACCCGATTGCAATATCTATACAATATGACCATATGACACCTAACTGTCCTATAGCAGAAATGAAAACAAATTTAGCCCTATCCCACACTTCAAAATCAACTTCAATAGATTTGGTAATTCTAACACTAATTAACGCCCTGTCTCGTGTATTATTTTAGTATCTTTTCATATTATTCAATTGTAAATGGTGTTATTATTTTAGGAAACTACAAGGCACAGAAGATTGTCTAACAGCTCATTTGCAAGTGATATATCATTTAGATTACCAACATATGAGAGTCCTTCGATGTATCATCTTCAGGTTTGTTCTACTATAAAAAGGTATATAATGTTATATTAGGCTACATACACACAGGCACGCACTTTGCGTGCTGAGTTACGGATATATATATGTAGTTTATTAAAGAAATTTGTAACTTTAAAGTGTATCTTGAAGAGATTCTCTTTATTAATTAAATGAAACGAATACCAATGTATTCTACGCGTTGTTAAACAATCCTTGCACAATACGTTTATATTATACTTTTATTTTACAAATAGTTTTAGTCTAAAGTTATGTTCAACCTTACGCCTTTAGCGGAAAACGAATGGGTAGCACACACGCTACGAAAAATGTTTGCGATCGCACTGTACGTTTAAACTGCACTGATACTCGAAACGTGTGTGTGATAAAAACTATACAGTTTTTAAAAACTACCGTCGAACTGAGTAGTAGAAAAATTTGAATAGAAAAAACGCGATCGGAGGAAACTGTGCTGATAATCGTAACGCGCTTGCCGAACGCTCAGTTTTTGTCATTTTTCATTTTGACACAACAGCAACAGTGTTTTGCTTTTCGATTATTGGTGTTACCATAGACAAAAATAAAGCGTATCACTATCCATTCTTAAAAAAATTATGCCAATCTCTTGGAAACGTCTCTAATTCCTGTAACAAATTTACATGAGAATGACCTTCTGTTTTCATTAGTCAATCTTTACACCAGGTCCTATGATTTTTCCGCTGCCTGATTTTTTATCCACAATAATGTATAATGGGACGTCTGTAGATGCCATCCCGGAACGAAATGATTAAACTGTGCAGTTTTACTTGGATGAGTGTGGGTTGTAGGGACATATGATTCATCCGTACAGTTCTACTGCACATTTTTATCGCACAGATAAAACTGAAAGTGTATGGTCTTCGTAACTCGGGCGCTGGGAAGTACCTAACGTGCAGGAACAGCGACGAAGGTTGCCCGATGCTTATACATAATTATCGTATTTTTTTTATTTCGGGTTTTACAAGAAAAGTCTTATAGTTACTGGAGACAATTATTTAATATTATAATAGTACATAAAATAAAAATAAATAATTTCTTATATTTACGCGAACACTACACATTGAAATAATAATAGTTTTTACGGAATTTATCGCGTATATTTAACTTTTTAAATACCCGACGTTTCGAGAGCTTTACAGCACCCATGGTCACGGGAAGGACTGAGATGTTCAAAGTCCAGATGTCATAGTTAACCGCGGTTGCCATAGATTAAAATTTAACTTTTGTTCTGATCTACACAGTACGAACTTATGGTATCATAAAGTCTTGCAGTTGTATGCTTGGGTTGGGATTTAATTTTATTTATTATAGGATCCCAAGCAGATGGTAGCACCCAGCCATCTCTATTGAAATTAGGATGTTTTTTGATTGCAATAGCCTCGCGAATCATCCTTGGAAGGAATCGGTGTTCTTTAGCGAGGATTTGTGGTCTATCAAATCTGATGTAGTGACGGGGGCGATCCTGTACGTGTCCACAGACTGCAGACTTCCCGGAGCGTCGATTCTTCACATCAGCTATATGTTCTTTAACGCGGGTTTTAATTGATCTTTTAGTTTATCCTATGTAGGAGAGACCACATTCACAATCAAGCTTGTACACTCCTGCATTGTGTATGTGAGATTGTGAATGTGGTCTCTCCCACATAGGACAAACTAAAAGAAATCAAAAAACATCCTAATTTCAATAGAGAAGATGGCTGGGTGCTACCATCTGCTTGAGATCCTATAATAAATAAAATTAAATCCCAACCCAAGCATACAACTGCAAGACTTTATGATACCATAAGTTCGTACTGTGTAGATCGGAACAAAAGTTAAATTTTAATCTATGGTAACCGCGGTTAACTATGACATCTGGACGTTAAACATCTCAGTCCTTCCCGTGACCATGGGTGCTGTAAAGCTCTCGAAACGTCGGGTATTTAAAAAGTTAAATATACGCGATAAATTCCGTAAAAACTAGTATTATTTCAATAAAAATAAATTTTAAAATAAAACCAATATCTCAATATTATTTACTCAGTATAGATAAATATATAATATTTATTCAATATAAATATTCACTCCCTAACGCAATCATGAATTGCATGAGTTGCATTTTAATAATTTCTCGACACATCTCAACATATTTCTTTTATAAATGGCTATTATCATGTTAATAGTAAAGCATTATTTTATATTTAGCATTTACAACCCAATGTATAATCAAAAAACGGTGATCGCGTAATAGTGATTAAATTTTGAGAAAGTTACTATATGTCAACGTTTTGGAACTCTCGTAATGATAGATATTTCCTAAAGGAAATATTAGAAATAACATATAAAAACAGAAAACTTATCACATTTTTGATCAAGCTAACATACTTTAACACTCCACAAACAAGAATGGCGGACCTGTTATTTTCACATTTTTTTCTGAATATTTTGCTGCCATTACACGGATAAAATTCACTCTCATGGATGACAAATTTTAAATAGCACCATCTCTTATTTTTCTACTGTATTATTAACATCTCTTTAGCGCTGTACTTGTTTAAACCGAACGATGTTGTTCAGTGACTGTAGTCACCATGGACAGCTAATCCAAGAATTCACCGTGGTGGCTTGAGTGGTTATAATAGTGTGAAGATATTATTGCGACATCTAGCGTCGAGTAGCAAATTTTTTCAGAAACTTTTTGGATAAAGACAATTATGTATATTATTAAGTGATGCGTTTTCAAATCTTTCAAATTACTACGACATCTAATGTTAAGCAAGCTGAATTGTTTGTTAATATTGGAATCTTCCGTCACGAAATGGAATATATTCTCTATTTTCAAGAACTTATTGTTCGTACTTAAGTAAATGGAATAATAAGAACACAAAGCCTTTCTCTTTTATATTTTAATAGCCAATCACGTGAACATTATTAATATGGTGTACAACAAGCAATACACATAATTCTACACTCCATAGATACACATTTCTTTCATGCGAATGTGTGACTTTGGCGACAGTGTTTCTGGTACAAAGTATGCCACTTTTCTATTTGATTTTTATATTCCGTGAGTAGATAGCAACAATTGCAGCGCGGACGGCTTTTCAAATATATCGAAAGTAGGATTAAGAATCTTTTCCAATGTAGGAAAGAATATTTGCATAGTTTGTTATTATTTTAGTCTGACATGGATGTTTCTGCTAGTGAAGCAGAAGAAAAGGGTTTCAGTGGAGGCGCAGTAAATTTAGACAGAGTCACAAAAGACCAGCTGTTTCTTGCTTACAAAAGAACGCAAGATCGCTGCAGAAAATATAAAACCCAATATGCTGATTTAGCCCGACATTATAAACTGCTAGAGAGAGAAAACGCAAAAGCAAGGGTATGTGAAGATGTATTTTTCTAACCAAAAATGTATTCTTTCATAATCACTTATTGGTACATGTATCACTTAACCCTTTTTTAATTTTTCTACACTATACCACGTAATGTGCCTTTTTTCTTTTGATCAGCCCGTATAAGTTCAGCGCTTAGTATAGAAGGTATTCTATCAATCACAGATCATCCACATCCACATTTAGCGAACAGAAGATTGGTGATCGCAGCACCAAACGTCTCGCACATTTGACATCACTGAAGCGCCGGCCTGGGTATTTTAGGACAGTTGTAAACGGCATGCCGAACATATATCTCACGTCTTCGGCTCTTACGACACGAGTGAAATGTACCATTTTTATCATTCTCACTCACGCATTTAAATTGAAATTTGACATCAAGATAGATCATTAAGCGTGTACTAAACGCAAACAAAACATGAAAGCATCTTAGCTCTAAAAAATGTTCCATTCAAGACAAATTCGGTACAAACGTCATTCGAAGATGTCGGCTTCGCCGGTCGGGTCGGCGGCATCTAAACGGGTGCCAACTTCAATAACAGTTTTTTTTTAAACACATCCGTTCAGATCTCAACTCTTTTATAGGCAAAGTCGACAACCCCCAAAGTGTCGTTTGTACCAAACTAAACTTCCTTTACACATTAATGTTTTGGTGGGATAATTTATTACTATAAACAATGTGAATCATGTTTATCACTATTAAATAAATATAAGAAATGAGAACTTTGCTTTTTCCAGAATGTTTTAGTTGAAACTCAAGACAAGGCTTTGAGGAGAATATCAGAGCTAAGAGAGCAATGTACTTTGGAACAAGGTGCAAAGGTAATTTAGGGAAAAGTTAGTAACTCCTTTTAAGCATATTGCGCGCACAGAATAGTGTGAGAATTGGCATAGTTAAATTTTATATGGAGAAGGAGTGCAGAAAGCTAATATTTTTATATTATATATATGTTAAAAATACATTAAATTAAATAAAAGAAAACATTCATTGCTTACGTTCATACTGCTAATGTCAAACTCATTACAGTCCGTCGTTTGCTTATGTTCTTACTACCAATATCAAACACATAATAGTCTGAAGTAAAATAGTCGCACAGAATAAAGATTGTAGGCAAAGAATTTTAAAATATTGCCAACAAATAATTACTACTTAACATTGTGTGATTTCAAATGTTCCTTCTTCAATAGTCTGTGTTGTGTAGTTTATTAGATAATTTGTAAATGAGATATCTTTGTTTTAACTGTATTTCTATTTATCGAAAAATTTTTGCGGCACCCGTCTCGTACAACGCGCACAGAAAGTTCGTGGTCAAAAATGTCTCCTAAAGGTATACACGCTGACTTGATGGAAGCGCTGGATATAAAATTAATTATTCATTCATTAAGTTTATTGTTGATCATAGGCTTCCCTATAGATTGCCTAGTAAGGGAATATTGGTCACAGTCGTCATGCTTGGCGCGTTAGCAAACGCAGTTCATTTCTGTCTGGTTGTATTTATTTTTATATATACTGTTTGTGTCTTTGTTTTTAACTGAACAATGGAACACTGCTGTGTTCCAGTTTGAGGGGTATAGAGAGTCAGTTTTATTACGCGTTGCCTTTTATGACACCTACGGGATCATACGGAGTAGTGGATATACTTACACCGTCATCCCCTTAATGATAGGAAACAGTTAACAAATGTTATATAATGTTAAGTGCAAAAGCTTAAAGTAAACTTTAACAGTAGAATAATGTATCTTATCGATTTTATTTTTGAAATTATGTAATATATGTTATATATTTGCAGGCACATCTTGAAAAAGCCATGCGTGATGAAATAGAAGAAAAAAATATAAAAATAGACACGTTAAATACCAAACTTAAACTTATACAAAACAACGCAAAAATTAATAATGATTTATTAGATGAGGTTAGTAAAAAAAATAATGAAAGTGATGGTCACTCACAATTAATTGATTTAGCTATTGAAGAAAAAGAAGAAAATAAGAACGAATCAATAACGTCAGAAGTTACTATTCTTAATAATAAAGTATCGAAAATGGAAGAATTATTGAACAAATATAAAGAGTCTCTCAAGATATGTAAGGAAAAGAATGCACAAATAATGGGTGAGCAGCAAATTTTGGCAACTGACTTAGAAAATAAACAAAAAGAAATTGATCAATTGAAAGCGGTAAACATATCATTAATTGATACCAAACAAACAATAGATGATTTGAATAATTTCATTGAAGATTTGCAAAGTAAACATACTGCTTTTGAATTTGGAAAAAATAAAGAAATTTCAGTCCTAAAACTAGACCTTGATCAAGCTCATAATGAAATAATGCAGTTAAAGAATAAAATTGAAGTTTTAAGTAAGAGAGAGGAAGAATATGCTATTTCATTAGCAGAAAATAAATTAAGCATTCATAAAGAGCTTGAGAATAAAGAAGCTGAAATAAAATCTCTTAAAGATAATTTGGCTAGTTCTCAAAATGAAATCCAGTCTTTGAATATTGTTGTAAGTGATTATAAAAAAAATTATTCTTTATTAGAAGAGGAGCGATCCAGATTTAATAACAATTTAAATGAATATAATTTGGCTAAAATCAAAATAAAACAATTAGAACAGCAATTAGACGATTCAACAAAAAAATATCAGTTGCTAGAAAATTCTAAAATAAAATTAGATGAAGAATATAAATGCTTACAGTTACAATTAAAGCAAGAGACTGCAGAGAAACTTGCAATGATAGATAGAAATCTCTATTTGGAAAATAGGAACACACAGCTTTCTGAGGAAAGTTTAAAAAAAAGTTCACAGATTAATAAATTAGAAAGTGAAATTAAGTTACTTTATAATAACAAAGAATCCCAAAATGTTTCTGTGTTAGATAATCACAGTGAAAATCCAGAAATAATAGCTGAAGTGAACAACTGGAAAACAAAATATGAGCATTTGGAGTTTGAAATACAAGAAAAGCGCGAGGAATTATTGGAAAAACAAAAAAAGATTGAAAAGCTTCTTTGTGATGTTGAATCACTAGAGAATGAAAACCTTCAATTACATACACAATTGTCAGATATGGATTCTAGAAATAACGTGGTACAAGAACAATATCAACAAATGAAAACATTATATGATAACATATTGAAAAAAGTAAAGCTTTTGCGAGAAGATATCCTTCTCATAAAACAAGAAACAAAATTGTCTATTGACGAGGTCAGTTGTGATATAAATGAAACGTTTAAGGAAGAACTTAAAACATTAATAAGTAAAGTAGTAAATAAAAGTAATGAAAAATGCAGTCAACTCAAATGTAATAATGAGCTATTAAAAAAACAATTAAATGATGTTACTTCAAATTTACAATTGAAAATAAAGGAAGTTGATGATCTACAAATAAAATTGCAACAAGAAATAACAGAACATGATAAAATAAAACAAACATTAGAGAACAATCTAGAACAACATAATGTTTTGCAACAAAAAATGTTTGATTTAAAGAACGAAAATAAAAATTTAAATGATTCACTACAATTTGACACTATTGAAAAAACTACATTAGCAGAAAAACTTAAGCAGAAGGAAGAAGAAAATACAGAATTATTCCAAAAAATCCTGGATTTAGAATCAAAAATAAAATTAAATGTAGATTCTGAACTAAATTATATTAAAATATCAAAAGAAACTGAGGAATTATTGGATAAATTGAAAATATGTGAAAAATTAAAAATAACAACAGAAAATGAATTGCAGATCTTAAAACTAAAGATTGAAGAATGTGAACAAGATAGAATTAGTTTACAAAGGGAAAACACGCAATTACTTGAAAATAATAAACGAATGGAAAACGCAAATGGTGAACTTCTTATACAAATAAATAATTTAACAAAGAAAATGAATGATAATGAAGAGTTGTCTGTTCAACTAAGAAGAGAAAATGAAAAACTGCTTAATGATTTAAAACGTACAGAAAAACGAAATTCTGAATCTGCAGTGCTATATCAAAATTTGATTGACAAAATTAAAGGTATAGAAATAAAAACCCATGAAATGAAGAAGGAACAAAGCATTTTAGAAGATAAAATAATTTTAATTCAAGATGCTAAAGCTGCAATAGAAACGGATTATAAAAATTTACAAAACCAAATAGAACAATTAAAAACAAAAAATACCTTACTAGAAACCGAAAATAAAGAGCTAAATAGTAAAATTAAAATAATGACAAAAGAATGTTTTGAAAATGAAACCATTCTTAATGAACTAACTAAAATTAAGGACAGCAATGTATACTTGCAAGAAAAAGTGAATATTATAAAGAAACAAAAAGAGCACGACTTAATAAATATTGAAGCTTTACAGCAAGAAAATGTAGATTTAAAGAAAAAAGTAGATTATCACGAAGAAAATATTTTACGCACACAGGAGCTAGAAAAAGAATTAATATTATTAAAAAAAGAAAATGAAACTCTTAAAATTCAATTGGAAACTAATTTAAGCAATATTAAGATATTTGAAAATGAAATGAAACAGATACGTGATTCACATAGTGAGATTGAAAAGGAAAAGGATAATTTGAATTCTATAATTAAAAAAATAGAAAATAGTCAGCTTAATGCTAAACTATCAAGTACGTTGGATATTGCACACACACAAACAAGCAATGATAATATAGCTGAAGAAAGTGATGAAAAAATTGTCCCTTCAAAAATAACAACAAATAGTAGTGTTCAAACTAGCAATGATGAGTTGCATTTTAAAATTGATCCAGAAAATTTAGAAACTAGTTCTATAAGTCATGATTATACATTACTCAAAGAGGAAAACAGACGCCTACGTTCTGACATTGAAGGGCTACAAACATACTTAGCGAAAATTTCAAAAGATAATAGCCTTTTAAATGATAAATTGAGAGAAGTTATCACGTCAAATGATATTTTCGCAGATCAAAGTGAGGTATCGCAATATGATATAGAAACACTTAAAAATGAAATTCAGTCCGGAAAAGATAAAATAGACAATTTAATAAGAGAAAATACATTACTAGTAGAAGAAAATTTGGAACTGAAAGATCAAATTAGTTTTCAAAGTACTTATAAACCATCGCTATTTGAGCCGACCGAGAGTAATGAGAATATTGTCAATATTAAGAAAATGTATGACAGTGCTGTAGATAGTAAAAATTATCTAGAAATAAGAGTTAAAGAATTAGAACACATGAATTTGTCAATAAATAGTAATATGCAAGAAATGCAAGTTAATAATGAAAAATTAAAGCACTCAAATGAAAAATTAGAAAGGAGTTTGGACGAAGCTCTGGTTAGCTTAAGACATTTACATTCACTACAAGAAAATACAGAATTAGAATATTTACGAAATATTCTTTATGAATATTTAACTGGTTCTGGAACACATTCCTTAACTTTAGCAAAAGTGTTATCAGCCGTAGTTAAGTTTAACGACTCGCAAACTGAACTTGTCCTGCAAAAAGAAAGAGAGAGACAAGGAATAGTAAGTGCAGTTTTGTATTTATATTATTAGATATATTTATTATAATAATGCAGATTGAGTTTACCTTTTAACTTTTTATTTTACAGTTACGACAACTTGGTATCATTTGATAACAGTGCTAGAAACTTTATATTATTTAAATTTTCCAAGAGTTTAAATAGTACTTTCTAAGAGTTTTACATCTAGGATCTGAAAAACTATTATCCACTTTTGGCACTAACATGATCTAATGTTCAGATCATCAGGATCATAGAATAGTGATGGATGTTATTCTTGTTTTAATTTATTATTTATTGTAAAAATAAAGAAACATTTTTAATATTTTATCCTTTGCCATGTCCGGAGAGTTTAAGTTAGTATATACATAGTTGTTTAAAATGATCAATATTGATTTTAAAAACTTTATTAAATATTAATAATGTGGCATCATTAATCGTTAATTTATGTAAATATAAATTTATCCTTATTTATAGGCCAGAGCAAGCAATTACGGTTTGTAAAAAATAGATAACTTTTTTGTTGATTGTAGTTTTAATTGTTTATATTTTTATATAAATATGCTATCATTCCACCGTATGAATTAAGATATCAGAAGTATGTGTTTAGACCAAGAAATAATGTTGGACGGAGCGCTGCATACATTTCAAATAACGCCGAAAACATGCCAAAACTGTATTTTAGTAATTGTAATTTGTATATAATATGTGAACCAAAATATTTGCGTTCATTAAAATGTTTTTCGGTGCATATTATGTGAGCATCCAGGAGTGAACTTTTACGAGCTTTTGAAGGAAGAAAGAATGAAGATGTTTGTAAGTGCGTGTCAAAAAGTTGAGCGTGGTGTCAGCGTCACTTGAAATGTGCGTCGTGTTTTGAGGATGATCCTAGGCTCCGTGGTAAATTTTGAAATTATAGCTCATTTTATTGTAATAACTTGCGCTATATTTTGACAAAAAGTTAATATATGAAATAATTTTACTAAAAAATTAACAGCAGCGTAAAATTTTAAATTCAAAAACCGTCAGAAGAAAGTTAAATAAATCAAAGCAAAAAATGTACATTGAAATTCATGATAGATAGTATTATTTTATTGTTATTTGAAGAGAAACTACACTACTCTGATAAAGCTTATTGAATGACTTGATTGAAAAATGTTCATTTTTTCGACGCAAGAAATTAAAATTTAATTTGTCAAACGTTTTCTTTTTATTACCGTTTTAGAATAAGTAAGTACCTGATCAGAGAAGAAACTACCAAAAAACACCGCAGTTTTCTTCGAGAATAATTTCTTACGATATTTTTTTAAATTATCAGTAATAACGAATTTGTTTGATATTTATAATATTTTTTATAAAATTATAGGTGAACCTTTATTGCATTTACAGTTTTTACAGGATATAAGGCCTCCTTCATAGATTCCCTAAACAGCGTTCTAATTTAAGTTCAAATCTCAATTCCAAATTTTAATTCCAATTCCCTTAACGCCTACCAAATATGACAAAACATGGCTTTACCATGTTTGAAGGTAAGTTGGCAACCAAAAATTGATCTCTCCCTTTTATGTTTGCTCGTATAAAAACTTTTTTTTGTGATTTTATTATTACAATATAATTATGTGACATAAAATACTAAATCTTAAACTATTATTATGAAATATAGAAATCGATCTTAATGTATTCTTGAGTCAACAAAATAGATTTTTTTTCTATTTTTCTACTCTTTTTCCAAAACATTATTATTGTATCAAGTGTCCATCAGAGAGATTTAATCCGGGTATATAGTAGATATAAAATGTACCCTTTTGGATAATCAGAATAAACGCTATTTTGACTGATAGTCTAGTCTACTTACTTGAGACAAATAGTCCGACAAGGTAAGTCCAACTTCGATAGAGGTCAATTGACGAGTTCAACTAAACAAAAGTAACTGCCTCCTGCAATTAGGCTCTACTCTAGATCGCTCTTTACGCACAGCTACAGGAACTCGCCCCGCTTCTTGAGTCTAACATCTATAACATGTTTTTTTATTTACACAGCAATATCGTAAGCGAACTTTCGACCTAACTACTTTCTATATAATTAGCTAGTTCAGCCCCTAAATATCTAAGAAAACAGTGTTTCCTATGATCTGGTCCTGGTAGCCTTATTATATAATAAAGTTACTAACCTTTCATTTGCGTATGGGTGCCGTGTGATGGCGTCGTAAGGAAATTCAACATCCCTTATCATCCCCTAGATGTAAAAAGCGACAGAGGGAAATAAAAAAGAAGAAAAGTACACTTCTACTTCTTACTCTTCCTGAATATCGTAGGTGTCCTGAAGCCTTTAATATTCGCAGATGATGAAGATCGATCGACACTGCCAGAGTAGAGCTCACTAATAATTAATTAACTGATCGTCGGCGCACGCTAATATGTATAAAAAATGTAGAAAATTCTAGGTCGATCCGGTTTATTCAAATATTCACCAACTTCAATGTGGGAAACGCTTGAACAAATTTGAATTACAATATGCCATAATTTTTGTGAAATAAGGCCATTTTCCATAATTAAATTATAGTCTCGTAGGTTTTTTATATATTAAATAAATCAAGGTACACGTATTAATTCTTATGGCCTTTCTATTTTTTTATAGCATAAGGGTGACAAACGAGCACACAGTCCACCTGATGGTAAGTGGTTTCTGTGGCTCATAGACATCTACATCTATTTTCGATTAAGAATCAAAATGCTAACTAAGATGGAATGTCTCATTTCCAATAAAAAGGTTCTCTACACCTACCATACGAAACACAGCAACGTTAAGCTGGTATTCAGTGAGAGTGTAGACTTTCCCCGGTCGAGCCGACCAATTCTTGCTACAACTGTACTACTAATATAGATGCAGCATGGCTGTACCACGTAAGTTCTATTAGTAAACTCTCTTATAATACAGCAAAGTCCATATATGCTGCAAATTCGTTTTTTAATAGCAACATTGCCAAGCTGCCATCTAGATTAAGAAACATTGCCAATTGCAGATCAGAAGATCATCAGAATTCTCGGCGTCAACACATCGAATGACATACATAACACGAGGATGACACTGAAAGTTCTTAGAAAATCGAAAACTGAACAAACTAGCAAGTTATTATTTTTATTATATCTTTTCAAAATAGTGTCCATTTACATCAATACATAGCTGCATCCAATGAAACCAATGAGAAAAGCACTTTGCCCACTCGTCCTTAGGGGTCTCTTCGACGGCATTTTGAAACGCAGCCACTGCTTCCTCGGCGTCCATAAAACATTTTCCTCGAAGTTTTTCTTTTATTTTCGGAAATGAATAAAAATTGCAAGGTCGAGGCTATAGGGGTGACCCAGTAATTCCACGTCGGACAGTTATAATAGATTTTATTTATTTTTTCGATAACGGTGCATTACCTTTTAATGTGAGTGGTATTATTATAATCGGGGACCAAACCTCTACCAAATATAACACCTTACTCCCCCAAATTCCTGCCAAACGATACTAAATCCAACTCGTCGTTTCTCCCGATCTTTTTCGACAAGTGGCAAACAATTCTTAGTGTACCACTCTGCAGTACCTGTTTTTCGATCCTCTAAAACAATTGTTGCGTAATTGTCCTTCCAAAAACGATGCCACCATATTTTTTCCCACGCTTCGACCTCTTCACTTTAGTTGGCCACTCCTCGGAAGGAAATACCCAGACAGCAGACTGTCTCTTAGTTTCAGGGTCAAAAAAATAAATCCTGCTTTCGTCACCCGTAAGTATGTCGAACACAGCGTTTGAGTCCGTTAAATCTTTGAACCTTTTCAAGACACCAATCAACACGACGAATTTTATGGGCCTCCGTCAAATTATGAGGTAGGTATCCACCGGGCACAAAGCTTTTTGACCGCTAAATATTCATGGAGGATTTTGTGCACTTGACTCATGCCGATGCCTAAGCTTGTCTGAATCTATATGAATAAGTCACTCTTTTGTCAGCCACACGACACTGATGTTATCTTCAGTCGTCGCCAAAAATGAATTGGTCACAAGAGCAAATGGCAAACGGAGCAATAAGCCAACGGCACCCCCCTGCCACGATATCCGTGGATTTCTGCAACATCAGGGGACTTTATTCGAACCTTAACGCCGTCCACTACCATCTGAAAACGGCGAAGCCGGCCTTGCTCTTTTTAGGGTTCCGTAGTCAACTAGGAACCCTTATAGTTTCGCCATGTCTGTCTGTCCGTCCTAGCTTAATCTCTGTGACCTTTAGCACTAGAAAGCTGAAATTTGGTACCAATATGTGTATCAATCACGCCGACGAAGTGGTAAAATAAAAATTGGAAAAAAATGTTTTATTAGGGTAGCCCCCCTATATGTAAAGTGGGAAGTGATTTTTTTTTTAATTTCAACCCTAACGTGTGATATATTGTTGGAAAGGTATTTAAAAATGAATAGGGGTTTATAAAATCATTTTTTGATAATGTCAATAATTTCGGAAATAATCGCTCTAAAAGTAAAATACAATGTGTCCCCCCCCCTCTAACTTGAACCATAAGTTTAGAAAATATGAAAAAATCTGAAAAGTAGAACTTTATAAGGACTTTCTAGGAAAATCATTTTGAACTTGGATGGAAACAACAGTACCCACTACCGGGAGCAGTTGCAGGAGCGCGGAGCGCTGCTGGAGCGCGAACATAATGGATCCCCACCTTTAAACTCATAAGTGGGAACACTTATTGTGACGGACGGGAAACTACGGAACCCTACACTGAGCGTGGCCCGACACGCTCTTGGCCGGTTTTTTAACTAAGACACAGGTGTCCTTTCCGGCTGACACTTCATATCGCTTTTACCCGGGGTACAGATTAGAACACTCTTGTGCCCCGGGCTAGAGTTTGCGTGTACGTCAGAGAGGACATCTGTTTTCGACGCCTCGGTAGCCTTGAAGGTACGGACCTGTCCATCTTATGGCTACGCGTAGACAGCGACGATCATCCCCGCGTCTACGGGTGCCTTTATAGGTCCCATAGCGGTAATACCTACACAGACCGACTGATCGACCACGTCCAAGATGGCTGCAGACTCCGTGCTACAACAGGTCCCATCCGCAGAG